CCGAAGGAGTTACACGTATGAGGAAGAAATTGTACCTCCTGCTCCAACGGCTTCTTGAATTCCCTCTCGTACGCCACACGAATAGCACTAATCTGCTCAGTTGTTCGAGAGCAGAGAATTTCGATCAACACCGCCTCATCAGTGCCAAGGCCCTGAACGAAAATACTTGTTTTGAGACGACCTAACGAACCATAACTGGAACCTTTTACTCAACAAACACAGCTTCTGTGGCTCTTACCTTCATGGCCTGTTTGAGCTGCTTGAGATCGTATTCAAGTGGTGTCTCCATGAGAGCGAAAACAGTCTTTTCCAGATCACCACTGAATTTCTTGTCCAGAGCAGTCATGATATCCTTGCCATATTTGATTTTGTATGGCTCGCGCAGCTGAAAGTAATCCAGATGATCCTCTGAAGTTTCGCTCTCTAAGGCAGGAATCCCTTCGTGTAAGCAGGTTTGTAACGAGAGTTGGATGTTTCTGTTCTACGTTTTAGAACCAGCAGACTGCACACGAAGCGTTAATGCGTTTTGCCTTTCACACGGATGGCTGCCACTTTCTTTCTTCCAGCAGTATCAGTGCTTGAAATAGTCCCTGCCCTTTCGATTGGAAGTCCTGCTTCGAGATTGGCTTTTCTACCTTTTCAATGCACCGGCCTTTTCGTGCGAGGATTTCAGAATTACCCCTTGCTAACTACATAATGCCCCGTCAAAATGCACCGCCTTCGTTATCTGCGGTTGAAGCGTTTACTCTAAAGGGAAACTATAGAACTTTCTTGGCGACTAAACGAACCCTGAAGGCACGATTTGCGCTCTGCGACGGTTGTAATACCCTTTTTTCCATTCCAGTTGTTGGATGGTGCTAGCAGAATGCATTCGCTCTTTTGGTGAGGTACGGGGAAGAATTTATTTATTTATTTATTATATTAACGGGGATGATTTAGTCAGCCCTCAATGTACAGAGCTACACGTTGACGTGAATTTGAAAAGGAACATGTCACAGATAGTTCGTCTTGAACTAACCATTAAGATCGACCTATTTTACAAGGACGCTCATATTCCTGTTACTGCCTTAGTTGGAGATAGGTCCTAACGAAAGAGTGACGGAGTTCTTTGAAAGGAGCTGCAGAATAGTTAGCGGGGGGGGTGTACGGCCTGATGAAAATACTTTTTTATCAGTCATTATTCCAATTCTTGCATCGGTTTCTCTTACACTGGCTTAGAGGAAATAAAAAGTACTCTGTATCAGATCAGAAAGTACATTTCTCCGTTAGCAAACTTCCTGAGCCTCCGTCACTGTAATTTTTCTGTGGCATCATCGCTCTGTCAGCACATTAGACACCAGCGATCGGTCATGCTCTTGAAGACCACATCACCCTTATCACTGGAGCAAATTGCTAGCGTCTGCACTTACTATTCGCTTGCTGAGTTGTCATTTTACTTCAAAAGGTGGCGTGACACTCCACCGCATCCAATTTATACAAGCCAAGGTTTTTTTGAAACAGAGTCAACCATCAGAAAATATGGAAGTCTGTGGCATGCTCCATGGGACCTGTCTCCGGAAAATTATTCACCAAGAGGGGCCGAAGAATGCTATTTCTTTGCCAGAATCCATCACTGATCACGAGTGTATTGTCCTCAATTGTGGTGTTATTGTAAGCAGAAGGGGATGTTATATAACAGCCTTGTTCTTTACTGATGGGGCGTGTCGGGGGGGGGGGCGGGGGCTAGCGCAGCGCCAGTCCATTCTCAACCAGTTAAGTGAAGCGCCAGCAGCAGAACAACAAACCAGCGAAAGGGTACCCACCTCCCCCCCCCCCCCACCCCGCCGACACCCCCAGCATCAGCACGAACAAGATTGTGTATCACAAGGAATCAGAAAGAGGATCAGTGAACACTGACAGAGTGACCCGGTCCAGCTGCTGTGGAAAATTCAGGGAGAAATCGGTGCCGCCATCAGACCACATCGTGGGCTGGGGAATTCCCAGCGAGGGGTCGCATTTGGCCGCTTGCGCGGGTTAGGGGGGGTTCGTATTGGTCTGCAGAAATTTTTTTTGTTACGTGGTTTTGTCTTGCATCACGCGAAGCAACCAAAGGGGAGGGGGGACTCGTTTTTGTGAGAGGGGGTCGTATCAGAGGAGAGAGCTATGGTGTCGTATTTTCCGAAATTTTCGCCGGCGGCAGGGCGTGCGTGCCTGGCCGCGGTAGTTCCGATGTAGAAGCGGCTATTTGCCATGGCTTTTTGCCATTGAGCTGAGACGGCAAGCGGTAGATGGCTCATTGCCTTCGAGCACTCACACGCAATTCTTTATACAATCTTCTTTATACCTTGTCACTATTCCTTCATTAACGTGTTACGTGTGACATGTTGTGTTCCCAAACCCCCCCCCCCCCTCCCTCCCCTTATCCCTATTTCCCAACTACATACACTTCCCCACAAGTCTCCTCCTGCCTCTAGTTAACGAAAAGTAGTATTCAGCCTGCCCACGGTGATTATCAGCTGATAAAACAGCCAATCGTTCCCATTTCCTAGCGAAAACATTGACGCGGTCCCCTATTCAAACTTCCGAGAAAAAAACTGTAGCGATAACGGGCGCTGTATGTTTTTCCTGCGGTCAGCAAAGCTATCGCTGCTGCACTTGGCGTTTTTTCCACGACTATACAGAAATTGATCGAGTCGGAAGGTGTACAGCCGTCATTACATTTCAGACAATGTATATTATCATTCTGTCGCGAATCGCGAGGATCGCTCCCGAGGGAAATCCCTCAGGGTGCGCCGGTGCTCACGTGTAACCGCCGCAATGACCAACTACGACCTACCCGTGATCGCGCGGCAACGTGCGACGCCACACCGTTGGCACAATCACGGCCCTCCCGGGTTAGTTCAACATTATCTACGACTGCGTGTATATCGTATCTCTATCCTCTATCATATACTACATATTTCGGCGGCGGACTCGTGGGGCCTCGGCCCTTAGAACTGTTATATATGATGAATATTTCCAATTCTTCCTGGTCCAACAGCGGGTCGAGGGCGCCGGCCCGACGTGAGTTGTATTATCAAAGTTGACATTGTTTTCCTCATTTGATTGTGGTCACTACTTCACTTACCTTATAAATCTATTAGTTATTTCATGTTTTATGCATTTCATCGGTATCACCGAACCAGTATGTTTCTGTGCCATGTAGTGTTGCACTAATCATTAAGAAGAAGGTGTCACTGGGAGATAGCCTCGGGGTTAGGCAAGCGTGGCCTCTGTCGTGGAACTAGTTCATTTGTGTCCTTGTAAATGTGGGGTGTAGACCATTGGGACCACCGATCCGCAACAGATTCCACATATTTCCATTTCCACGGAATTCATCATCAAAATTTCGACGCGTTCCCTTTTTATGGAGGGTGGCTAGAAATCCATTTGACTGAGAGCAGAATAGCAATCGTGGCATTTTCCACCGCTCAGATTTTGTGTGGTTTCGAAGATTCTTTGGAATCATGAAGGCATACCAGCTCAATGCTCAAAATTCGGCATTTTTGTCTGGCTGAAGGGGCCTGAAGGCTGAAAACGAATGTGAAACGGTTCTGCAAACGAAATGTTATCGATCATTCCAATGTTCTGATGTTTTTGTATAGCCAATCATTCAGGGAATGCAATGAAACCAGTTTTAGTAGGGTACCATTTTCGAGCAAAAATAAATGCTGCTAAAGGATGGTTGGTACAGTGATTGTTTGATTCTTAACCCAACCTGTTCAAATGTTATGGAAGAGAAGCTCCTTCAATCGTCTCCTAGGCTGTCTCAAGATGAGTCCCGATCCCGGTCCCTCTCAACAGCACATGCTTTGGAGAGATTCTCAGAAAAACAATTGAAAGCTGCGTAAAGTAGACTGTTTCAATCTTGATAGAATGAATATTCTTATTTTATATTTTTCCTTTTCTCATTAGGGAGTGAAATCGGAGAAGAAAATTTTGCATGGAAAAAAGTTCAATCCCCGGTCGACTTCCGCATAGGCAAACCAAGCCTTCTACTCTCCGCAGAAGGCTTGATTGGTACCGTTTTTTTCAACGCATGCATGCAATATTTTGCTGAAAGCCAAGGGGTTCCTGTGGTGTAGGAAGCACGTTAAGACCCTGATTCACCAGAAGATCCCGATGTCCCCTCAACTGCCAGTCATTCCTCTCCACTGCTACGACGGAAGGCTTTGGCTGGAGCGATCAAACATTAATCGGCTAAGAGACTGCGACTGATACAGGACTGATTAACGAGGCGTTAATGAGAGACGACTTGTTCAAGCTTGACTCGATAAGTTGCCCTGCTGTCTCTTTTGCCCTGATTAAATAGTGAGCCATTCATTAAGTCATCAAGCGAGCATGTTTTCTCCATGAAATTTAATCCCCGTCAGCTGGTACCATCACTGGAAAGAGTAGCCAT